AACTCAGTAGGGATTTCTTTTTCGCAACAAGTCTATTTCTTCCTAATGGGCAGGTTTTGCTCCCCTGTCTTGCAACAATCCGGGGTTGTTATTATAAAGTCACGTTAAAAGGTTTCTTGTTTCCCCTCCATTTTCTATTCTAAAGAATCACCTTTTGATGTTTTCCGTCACGACGAAAAGGGAATGTGTGTTTTTTTCCAATAACGGCCACATTAACACAGGCTCTACTTCTTTATAGCAGTTTTATCATTTGGTGTGAAATTATTTAATGGATGGTGAGAAAATCGAAATAACATAGAAATTTAACTCCGACCTACCTTTTGATTCTTTTCATAAAGCCACGAGAAAAAAGAATATCTTTTACGTGTTCTAAAGTTAAAGTTATTCGCGAATGGCGGGATTTAAAGATAGGTCGGTAGGGTAGTCTAGTAGTTAAATCGAAGACCGGGGTTCGATTCCCTAAATGGATACAGTTAGTAAAGTTCATTTCTGGTGTCCCCCGCACCCATATGATATTGCTCAAAGCTGGGTAAAACCATTCTCACTCAGCCACTTAAAAAGGTAACAAAGGCACCTGGGTTTTTTTAAGCTCACCTGGCCTGAAATGTACGTCGTCGTTTAACATTTCGACTTCTCCGAAATGACTTGACGGATTCAGCTGAACTGTTGCGGGGATGCTTTATCATGTTTGTTCAAGGAGTCAAAAATGAATTTTAATCATGACTGTCAGCAGCAATTTTGGAAAATAAACCAAATCATGCACCATCCTGCGTAGGGTTAGTTAGTCGGGACCCGTGAAGATCCGGGGTAGAATAGGTCTTCAGCAACCCATGCTTGTCGTAAAAGGCGACTATGCTTGTTGTATGAGGCGACTGACGGGATCGGGTGGTCAAGCTCGCTGACTTGGTTGATGCATGTCATCGACCCCAATTGCTAATGATCGATGCTCATGATATCAATCACTGGATTTCCAGACTCGATTAGTTACAGACCGCCGTCATATAGCTGGAATATTGCTGAGTGCGGCGATAAACAACAAACAAAGAGCCTTGTTTGGCTGGGGACCATGCTATTAATCTCTCTCAAAATGCATTTTGGTTCTGTAAACATCTTTTCCCTTGAAATATGTTTCTCATTGACCAGAGGATTCTGATACTCGAGGATTGATACAGAATGAAGGCTCAACAAGAGATAACAAAGACTTAAGCACCATAAACAAATCATTCATTGAATACAATTATCCAAAAGTGAGATGCCATGGTCATGTTGATGTTTTGATGTCAATTAACTTAAAAGATTGATTAGTTGTATGCTGCTTTGACGTCATGGCTCTAGTCTGTGTTTCTGAACTGATGGGTGTATCGATGTAAGCTGTAATTATCACGTCATGGCTTCCCGTCCTGTTCGTAATTCTCCTTCGGTGTTTGATTGATCGGAGTAGTACAGCATCCAATATCATCAGTTTGTAGATGCAGAGTTCTTATACAGTGAGACCCGTGAAGATTCCGGGGTAGAATAAGTCTTCAGCAACCCATGCTTGCCGTAAAAGGCGACTATGCTTGTCGTAAAAGGCGACTAATGGGATCTGGTCAGGCTCGCTGACTTGGTTGATACATGTCATCGATCCCAATTGCGTGGATCGATGCTCATGATATTAATCACTGGATTGTCTGGTCCAGACTCGATTATTTACAGACCGCCGTCATATAGCTGGAATATTGCTGAGTGGTGCGTTAAACAAGAAAACCAACCAAATCTTATACAGTGAAACCCCGGTAATCCGGATTAACGAATCATTGGTAAATATTAATGTGGCATACGTCTGGATTGGATTTGTCTGGAAAATGTTAAAGGAGGGTGTGTTGCAATGTAATTTCTTGAAATAATTCAAATAAATAACAGCGACAAAACCCTTTCGAATCATTAAAACTTTGTAATCATGTTTTCGTAATAAGAATAATAATTTATTTTTTCATTTCATCGGCATTTCATTTTGAAATTAATTAATATTTTTCAGAGCTGTCTTCTTGTTTCTGAAACCATGCAATTTCATTTGGAGATCTCATCATAATTATGATGGTCGTTAAGGTAATTATGGTATGGTATAATGATAAATTTGCATGCAAAAGGTGTAATTGACTGAGACATTATTGTGGAAGAAGGACTGGGAGCCCCATAAGATATTTCCAACTGTGCGTCTGTCTAATGATCGCAATTCGCCATGACGTCTCTTGTAGCCTACATGTACATTCAGATGTAGATGGAAGCAATCAAATTTTTTCTGGTTGGGGTGGTAACATATAAGTGAGGATGAAGGAGCACAGAAGAAGACGCGGTTACCCTAAAGATGAAACGTCTGAAACCTGAAGCATGGTTATGGCTGCGTTATAAGTCAGCTTATCGCTGATACTATTTGGAACAATGTTTGGTCAGTACAGATCATCACTCTGATCTGAGTAAAATCTGTAGCATGCTTTAGATTCAAATTTAGATGGAAAATGGTTCAGATTCAAATTTGATCAAGGAGTTGTAGATGCTTCTGATTCTTAATACCTTAACCAATTCCCAGCCCCAAACCAACCCCACCCACACACCCCAAGTATCAAAACAAACATGTAACAGTAAGCTTATTGTAATAATCAATATTTACTGCTTAATATAAGACAGCTACGCGAGAAATCGCAAAGAACAATGAAGAACGAAGAGTGGTTTATTTCACGATAGAACATTGTTCTATCATGACGTCATTTCTGGAGATTCGAACATGCGTTCGCAACTTGAGGACGTATTTTGGACGACGTTATTTTTTAGAGGGTAGTGTCTAGTGAGTTGTTTTCCATAGATCCAGCTGGGCAAAGCAGATAAATGCAGTGGCCGAACGATCGCATCCAAACGTGGGAGAGATTAACAATCTGTATTGGGATAAAAGGTACAGATAGTCGACGTGGGGTTTGGGAAAATATGCGGGAAATACCAAACTTAACCCACTCGTCCGACATAGCCGAGGTCGGATTTTGATCAGTGAGTCATCATTAATAACATACTGGTAAATAGTTTTAAAGCTCGTACATTTTATTAACATCATTAAAGGGGCTGTACAAAATGTTGATAGCTCATATAAGAAATAAACGACTCGTGGTCGTTGTTTATCGCACAATAAAACAATGCAGAAAGAATATCCATGAGGGGCTGAGAATAAACCATGAGGGGCTGCGATATTGTACGATAAACAACCCCCACTCGTCGTTTATTTCTTAAATAAAACATAGTTTTGAAATGCACACACTTCATATGTCTTGAAAAATTGCACTTAAACTAGCAGCCAGTCAGTCTGTTGTGTTTCTATCGAACGCCGAACAGATATCTAAATGGGTGATGTGCCTCTTTCTGAAAGTGACCTTTGAAAAAGGTTAGTTTAAAAAGTAGAGAATGTTTACATTGAATGTTGAACAAGGCTGGGAGCTTATTACCGATAACCCTCCAAGTCAGTTAAGCAAAAACTAAGCTCCAGAGAACAAAAGAAACAATGTCTTTGATAAGGTATAGAATTGGTCAGGCCGGCAAGACAAGAAGGATCACGGTGGCAGTTTCTATATTAATTCTCCAAGAGGCTGTAAAGTGCTCATCACAGGCGGGTCAGTCGTCTGAGGCACCGCGATTCGCGATGAAGGATTGGGTTATTTTTGGCGTCCCGGAGTCTTATCATCGCGGGTTTCAATCCCCGATTCGACTATGCTTGGTTTGTCAACATTCTTCAGTTTTAGGGTCTCAGATCTGCATTATTTCGGGCTTTCTTCATGATCAAGTGATGAAATTAAAAGTCTGTTTAAAACTACCCTAACGCAATGGCCAGTACTATGAATCTTATATATTCAACTGTGACAGATATATATGCCATGCACGTAGGTACTCTAACGCAGTGGACAATTCTATGAATCTTATATACTAAATGTGACAGATATATATGCCATATATTTAGGTAATCTAACGCAATGGTCAGTTTGATGTCATACTTTAAAGTACCCTTACGCAATGGAAACCTGAAACATACATGTATATACTTAACTGTGACGTATATACTTGTATGTCATGCATGTAAGTACACTAACGCAATTGTCAGTGTATATATGTCATACTTTAAGGTACCTGTACGGAGGTCAGATTGATGTCTGTTTGTTTGTTGTTTAACGCCGCACTCAGCAATATTCCAGCTATATGACAGCGGTCTGTAAATAATCGAGTCTTGATGAATCTTATATACTAAGCTGTGACAGATATATATGCCATGCATGTAGGTACACTTACGCAATGGACAGTTATGTGGTTGGTTGGTTAGTTTGTTGTTTAACGCCGCACTCAGCATGTTTAAGCTATATGATAGCGGTCTGTAAATAATCGAGCCTTGATGAATCTTATATACTCAACTGTGACAGATATATATGCCATGCATGTAGGTATACTTACGCAATGGTCAGTTACGTGGTTGGTTGGTTTGTTGTTTAACGCCGCACTCAGCAATATTCCAGCTATATGACGGCGGTATGTAAATAATCTTGTCTGGACCAGACAATCCAGTGATTAATATCATGAGCATCGATCCACGCAATTGGGATCGATGACATGCATCAACCATGTCAGCGAGCCTGACCACCCCATCCCGTCAGTCGCCTTTTAGGACAAGCAGTCATCTTTTACGGCAAGCATGGGTTGCTGAAGACCTATTCTATCCCGGAATCTTCACGGGTCCAGTTCTGTGAATCCTCATACTCAAATAAGACAGATATATAACCCATACATGTAGGTACTCTGACGAAGTTGTCAATTCTATGTATTTGTGATGTATATGTCAGACGTTTATGTACCCTTCCAACCACCCCTGACGCAGGGGTTAGTGCGAGGACTGATATAAACCCCAGCAATCACAGATATATTCCAGTAGCTACCCTGCAACTAGCTCAGACGAAGTGGTCAGTCTATAAAGAGGAACCAATTTTACTGACCTTTCCACGCCGACATAAGCACTCCAGACAAGCCGCTGACCCCAGCAAGGAAACAGGACACACAGAGCACGGGTAGGACATTCTTGAGGGTGTTATTGTTGGGTAGCGTCCGCTGACAGTACACAAGGAGCCTCACATTCCCCACGATCACCAGAAACAACAGAGTGACCGACACACTCACCCGGACGATGTCCAAGTCCACATCCATAATGATAATCCTCACGTTGTACAAGTTGTAGAAGTATCAGTCGCCCGCACTGTGTGCCCACGGCATCCTTAATGATAATCAGGATGACTTGAAAGTTGCAAACGTGCCAGACACCATGACAAAAACTACGCCAAGGTCTTCTAAAGCTGTTATGCCACTCCTAACGAACATGTTGTGAAAGTTCATTACAGCAGAAATCAATGATTAGATTCCCACAGAATCCATTAGCCCAGGAACAACAATCACACAACTTTGTGACACATGTCCTCTCAGGTTAATACAAGTGAGAAATTAGTATTGATGAAAAAGTTAATGGTCGGATATGGAACAAGTGATCATGTATGTGTTCTACAAGCAAGACGCTTGTCCCCACTTACCCACTTGATCAACAGCGCTGTCGATCCACGCGAAGGTAGCTTCTCATCGCAGAGTTATGTTTTACAGTCTGAGTGACACATCCCGCGGAGCTAATCCCCTTCTTGTAGTATACAGTGTAACACAGACTCTCTCGTTTCTGCCTTCACTCAGCTTGCCTGATTACTCAAACTACAGCCACTGCACGTCTTAGTAGCTTATCTGATAGGACCAATCATCGATTGCAGCTAGCCCGTTCCACACCTCAGAGAGACTGCCTTGCTTTAAACACTTCGGCCGACACCGAGGAAAGGCGAGAGGAGTAGTTGTAGGCTTGCTTATGGCTTCGATTTCCTTTGTAACAAAATGCGGTGGTGGTTACAAGCTATTCCATCTGTTGCTGGTGGGATGAGGTTTGATAAAGGGCATTGTACAGCCTGTTGAATGTGTTGTGCTGGTTGGTAGGATAATGCAGAAATTGTATTGAATCGATTTCTTTCCACCGAGTTTGACTTCTCTAATGCATTTGGCTTAACGCCGTTTTAGGCACTATTTTAGATGTATAACGGCATGTTAGCTTCATGTGGGAAAAAACACGAAGTTTATCTATGATATATTTCCATGTGTCATTAAGGACTTTCACAAATGGTATGATTACCTTCATCCTCGTCGAGCATACATACGTCAGGAAAAGGTTTATGACTGTGCTAACTAATTTATATTTTACCATGTGAGTGGATAAAAAAGATGATACTGGTGCTAGACTCATATCCTTAAGTCAATAATGTATTAATGACAATCGATTTTTTTACTTTTTACTTCTCTGTCATATGATGGCACGCCAGAATCCTATGAATGTGGGTTCGAATCCCGCTTCGCCCCGATTATGTTTCTAGGTTTTTCAGCACCATACCCGTGCTCGTGGGTTTCACCGAAGTGGTAAACATCTCAGACCTGCATCACTTCGGGCTTTCCTCCCACATTAAGCTGACACGCCGCGATATAACTGGAATGCTGTTAAAAGCGGCGTTAAACCCAAGTCATTCACTCACTAAGTATGGTTGAGCGAATTACTCTGTTGTCTTTGTATATTATCTGGATACTCATTGAGAAAATGTTGAGTAAATGAGTTGTGTTTAACGCCACTTCAGACAGCATTTGATAGTCAGTTTGTCTTTGACGTCAGGGTGTCTTAGACGTTTACCACTTTGTAAAACCCAAGAGACCGGTAGGCTTATGACAAACCAAGAAAATTAGTCGGGTCAAATTTGGGATTCTAACTCACGATCATTGGATTCTGGCACGACTAAGGGGCGCAACCCAGCGAGTCTGACTAGGAGAATGGGTAGTTTCTGTTAAAGACGTTTAAGATACTAATTATGTACATACACCCTATCTTGTCTCAAAGAAGACAATGATGATAGTTAAGTTTGCATTGTGAACAGACAGAAATAAACACTGACGTCAATAGGACTGTTTTCACTCACGCCTATAAGACTGCATTCTAAGACGTCAATATGATTATAACCTCGGGGTCGTTTTATTTGTTTGTTATTTTACGCCACAGTAAGCAGTTTCCCAGCTGTGTCACGTCCCTGAACACAATATGCACCAAGCACACTACAGTGAGAATGCTAATCTTCTACCAAGAACGTGTTGTATCTGACCTAGGAATGTACACTCGATCACTCTGACTAGTGATAAACCGCCTCCGTGGTCTAGTGGTAGACCGTCCGCCCGGAGAGCGGAAGGTCCGGGGTTCGATCCCCGGCCGCGTCATACCAAAAGACGTTAAAAGATGGTATTTGTTGTTACCCTGTCTGGCGCTCGGCATTAAGGGGCTAAAACAAGGACTGGTCGGCTCGGAGTCGGTATACTGTGTCTGAGTGGGGTATTCATGTTAAACTGAGGCATGGTATCTCAGTGAGCTAGCACTATAAATCGGCATCAGTCCGGACTAGTACAAGCAGCTGCACAAGCACACACACGTACATGCACGTCGCTATATAAGTGCAATAATCTTGGACGCGACGTTAAACCCCATTTCACCTCACCTCACCTCACCTCACCTGACTAGTGATAAGACCCCATAGTCCGATGGGATCAACACCAGTCTTCATCACTTGCTGACTGTTATCTGTCAAAATGCATCCATCATATATTTCCATGTGTCATTAAAGATTTTCACAAATGGTTTGATTGCTTCCATCCTCACCGAGCATACATACATCAGGAAAAGGTTGGTATGTATGCTACGATTTTAATATTTTACCACGTGAGCGGCGAAAAATCAATTCTGATTAGATTTGTTTCTCTGTTATTTAACGCCGCACTCAGCAATATTCCAGCTATATGACCCTGTAAATAATCGAGTCTGGACCAGGCAATCCAGTGATTGCCATCATGAGCTAAATCGATGCAATTGGAATACGATGACATGTATCAGCCAAGTCAGCGAGCCTGACCACCCGATCCCGTTAGTCGCCTCTTACGACAAGCATAGTCGCCTTTTACGGCAAGCATGGGTTGCTGAAGACCTATTCAACCCCGGAATCTTCACGGGTCTTTAGGTCACCGTTTTAATCATATAGCTAGAATATTGTTCATTATTGTAGATAGGACCATATTATTTTCGTCGAATTATCGTAGATAGTACGTTCAATTTTATTCCAACACACGATCATCAATCACGCGGTAGTTAGTCCAACAAAGAACTGACACAAAGCAATACAAGAGATAAATCTGGATAGGAAAAGACATCGTGTGTCACTGCTCTCGTGATTCTGGCCCTATTCGTTAAATCATAATGCATGAAAATCGATGGAAATTGCAGGTAAGCTCTTATCAAGACAGATATCAGATTCATACAAAGTACGACTCGTTATCATTGGATGTAAATGTCGGGGATACGATTTCATACGATATGTCTTTATCTCTTGAATTGTAACTGTACCAGGCTGACACTAGTCTCAATTTAGGACAAATAATACAGATGCCTACCGCCGGAAAGCAGGAGGACACACTGACACATTTAGGCAGAAGAAATAACATTATGCTTTTAGCGATAACTGTCAATACAGCTGATAATATAATTTAATGTCACAATATTAGGTTTTTTAGAAAGGGTTTTGTCGCCTTCAATTTTCAATGGACTTTAAGACAATAAACTTTCCATCAATGATTGATCATATGTTCTGTTTGTTTGTTGTTTAACGTCGCACTCAGCTATATGACAGCGGTCTGTAAATAATCAAGTCTGGACCAGACAATCCAGTGATTGACATCATGAGCATTGATCCACGCAATTGGGATACGATGACATGCATCAAGCAAGTCAGCGAACTTGACTCCCCGATCCCATTAGTCGCCTCTTACGACAAGCAAAGTCGCCTATTACCGCAAGCATTATATGTTCATTAATTCGGGGTGTGAAGGGCCTAGATGTTTCGCCAATATAAGCTGGTCCACACTTGCACGGAATGTGGTACAATGCTCCCGAGGGTTCTAGTTTGCGTCTAGCCACAGCTAACCACCATCCAGACACAAGCCAGAACCATCAGGAGCAATGTACCACATTCCAGGCAACTGTGGACAGGCTTATATTGGCGAAACAGCTTGGCCCCTCCAAACCCGAATTAAAGAACATCAAAGCTCTCCAAAGATGACTCATAGGCAGCTCTATTAAACCATATCCGTTACAACCCAAGCCACAGCATCCAGTGGGACAAAGTCAAATCCCTCACCTCTAGCCTCAAAGACTTCAAATCAGAAAACTACAAGAGGCCATCAACATAAAGAGACTCCAACCACCAATCAACAAGGGTAGAATACGTCTTCAGCAACCCATGCTGGCCGTAAAAAGGGACTGTGCTTGTCGTAAGAGGCGACCAACGGGATCGGGTGGTCAGGCTCGCTGACTTGGTTGATGCATGTCATTGATCCCAGTTGCGTGGATCGATGCTCATGATTTCAATCACGGGATTGTTTGGTCCACACTCGATTATTTACAGACCGCCGTCATTTAGCTGGAATATTGCTGAGTGCGGCGTTGAACAAACCAACCAACCAACATACCCCCGGCGTACCATCAACTCATCCTTTTGTTTATATTAATGGCTTCGATCCTTTTGTTTATATTACTGACTTCAATGGTCAATAGGGGGCACGGGTGGCCCAGTCGTCTGACACGCCGTGATAAAACTGGAATATTGTTAAAAGCGGCATTAAACCCAACTCACTCACTCACTCAATGGTCAATAGGTTTACCCTGTTGTGTACGTAACATGCTTCTCCACTCAAGTATAACTACATCTTAAATCTACTCTTCTGTATAAACATTGCCTCCTACCTGTATAAACACTTGTCAACCATACTCTGAGCATCACTTGCTTGATAACGGTGTTAGAACCTACACCGAAACGTCGCACCTAATTGTAATAAAGTAGTTGTTAATCCATAAAGCTTATCCTTACTAAGTATTTAATCTACTTGTTGCTATCAATATGTACAATTATTATTGAATGTCTCGCCGATCACCTTCGGGTACCCTCAGGCAGTATTTCATCAGATATAAGTAATTTAACCATCACCAGACAATTATCTTGGCGAACCCATTAGGGCTACGGATGGTGCTGATAGCAAACTGTTGGACAAATTTGCAAAATCAAATCAGTCCATGGGCACCTGTTTGATGAGGATGAGAACGAGGTCTTATAGAGATTTTCCGTTCTTGAGTACTGAGAACAGAACAGCAATTATAACCATCAAAACAATTGGGTTGTCAGTCGTGGGATTTCTAATATCTCTGTACAGTTTGGCACAAGGCTGCGCCGATGGACCCGTGTGGTCGGTTGTGTCCTAAAATACAACACGGCGAGTCTGATTGCCCATGATGTCAATGCTGTTTCCTCACCAGTCAAACAGATCGTAGCCGCATCACCGTTGCAGTATCATTCGGTGTATATTTTTTTACTTTGATGACCCTAAAAGTTATAAATGTGGAATAGAATTAAAATGATAAGCACAGTCGTTATTTAGCAGGCTGTGAGAATAAGAAATATGTCACTGAAAACAAGAATTGTTCAGCAACCATTGACCCGTTTCCAAGGCCTGTAAGGTAAATGGTTGACTAAACTAATGGTTACCTTAGTTTACTGAATCTTTACGTAAACCAAGCATGAAAAAATAGGAAAAAGCCTGGCAATATATCTTTACAGATGTGGGAAAAACAAAAGTTTTTAGCCTAAAATATGAACTCATACATGCTCGGTAACATGGGAAAATAATATATCCATAAAGTGACCTAGTATACATAGAATATCTCCTTAATATAATACCTTCAATGATTGTGCAAGAAGCTGCAAATATACT